TATAAGGAAGCAAAGTCCTGCTTCTATCAAAATGGCAGCCTCCACACAGACAGTGCAGAACAAGACATGATAAATCAGTAATGGGGTAAAAGATTATCTGCAGAAAGACCACAGGCAACACTGAGGACCAGTCTAGAGATTGGGACGGGATGACTGGCTAAGTCCCTGTCCCCTCGTTATCTATTCAAACAGGATGCATGGCAGGCAATATAATATGCAGATTAACGTACTTCCTCGTTAAGACTCAAAGCCCGCAGAAGAGAGTCCAAGTCATCAAACTCTGCGTAACCAAACCCTTTTAATCGCTCAGGATTGCTGGGTTCACGGGGCAGACGAACAGCGTCACATGACCCTGAAATAAATATACACCATCACACTGGACAAGTGTGTAAGTTTATGCAGTCATCAATCTGACTGCAGGGGAAGAACAGTGATCGTGGAAAATACATGTCAGACTAGATCTTCTGTTAGCTAAAAGGTGTCTGCAGAGCGCCAATAAATGAGATCCTTTCAGACTTAAACATAATCCTCTGGATTCAATCCAATATCTATAAGTCATAAATGTGCATTAAAAGGAAATCTGCCATTACAGAAACATGGAGGCCGCCATAGCTGACCTTTTCTTCTGAAAATGCTCAATCTCTGGTTGTCATGCTGAGCATCAGGCTACAATACTGACCATAACAGCCAGGCAACCAACATTTTTTAGAAAGTCCACAACAGCTGCCCCCAAATTTTGCTCATAACGGGAATATTTTTAAGTTGTTGTTTAAATAGTACTTAAAGCCTGTCTTATGAAATTCCCCACACAGCAGCATTTAGAACAGGAAAAGAGGCAGCACTGTAAGCCAGTCAGGTTTTACGACATTGCACAGGGCTTGAGGGAAGAGCACATGTATGAACTCTGCTCCTTCTCTACCCTATCTGGGGTTGTAGGGGTCCTTGAGCAAGCTATTCCTTTAACCCTTTCGCTACCAATGATTAAGTCAGCGGCAGTACCCACATGTAAACAGTTCACATTTTCACAGTGCACGGTTGGCTTACTCTAAAGCCACCCTAATCACTTCCACATCTACTGTAACATGTGCCCTCCAGAATGAGAGCAATAACTGGGGGGCCATCTTTTACTGTTCTTTCTAATACATTGCGCACTAAAATTAGAGTGCATTCATTAATGAAAATATGGATTTGATAAACAGCAGTGCTGTTATAGTGTGACATAAAAAAAGTGTACCTGCCACCTTTTTATTCTACAGGGTCTCTGCTTTCAGAAAATATATGTTTTGGGGGTACCAGCTGAAGGATGGGGGGGTGGGAATAAAAAGATTATCAGATAATGCATTCTCAACTGTTCAATCTTAGCCATGGCCATAGGGTCGCTATATAGACAACACTTACATTCAAGCCCCTGAAGAACTTTTGAATGGATTCTTCAGTCACATCATAAGGAAGGTTTCCAAGGAAGGCAGTGAAGGGAGGACTTTTCGGCAGGCGACTTCGATCTACATCAGGTTCACGCGCAGCTCGGGGGGCCGTGGGAAGGATTGAACGATCAATGTGGGGATTTCTGTACCCATCATCTTCATTACTATGCCATGTTGTGGAGACTAAAATTGATGTAAACAAGAGAGAAACATTAATTCAAGACAGAAAATTAAACTTTCACAAATTTTGGACATTTGGGTGTCAAAGTGCTAATGACAGCTGCCAGTGGCAAGATTCTGCAGACAGCAACGAAATACAGGGCGATGGTGGGCTGTTGCAACAGCCAGCCTGCTATTGGCCATTTCAAATTGCATTAGCAGGCTGGCTATTGCACCCACCCACTGCTTGCTGTGCCCTCCTCCCAGCAGGGTGGAGAGAGCTAGGGACTCCAACTAATCGATAATGATAACAGTTGACAACTATTCTCATAATGGATTAGTTGGTTGCAGCACTACTTAACCATTAACAAAAATGTATCTTATTAGTGTATCACTCAGCTGTAGAGCCTGAAATCATCTCTAAATTTGTGCTGATACTGTCCTTCCTTCTGCAGGGTGGCTCCTTTAGTTCCCCATGGTCCCTGTGTGTATTGTAAAGTAGCCACAGCTCTAAGATCCCTTCCCTAATGGACTACAACCTCAATACAAATTAGCAAAATAAACCTGAGATTGTAGTCCATCACAGGAGTGATTAGGGGAAGGATCTTGGAGCAGTGGCCACTTTACAACACACACAGGGACCATGGGGAACTAAAGTAGCCCCCTTCCAGAAGGAAGGGCAGTGTCAGCACCAATTCAGAGATGATTTGAGGATCTACAGGCTGAGTGATACACAAATAAGATACATTTTTGTTAATAGTTGAGGTACATGAATGCATTTTTAAGCGTTAACACCTGAATTTAATGTCACTTTAAAGTAGAGATGAACTAATTGTGCCTGAGGAGTATACATTTACCTGTTGTCTTTAATCCCTCCTGAAAATTAGCAGTGCACTTCCTGGTATGGGAGTGTGCCTAGGCCTGCAGCCTCATAGCTGTACATCTGTAGTGTGACATTCTAAGGCATTGTATATGCCAGTTACCGATGGTTTAATCCGATTTTGTGATGTCACATGTTTCCTTCATTCTGTGGAGCTGCGTTTTCTGCACTTCTCCTGCTGACGCTGATTATTATTCCAGCACCAGTCATCAAGAGGAGTGCTCTGACATGAGAAAGCAAAGCCCTGCCTCAACCAAGCAACCCTGATGGCTGCCAGCACACACAATGTGTGTGTGAGATAAAATATCAGATGGAGGGCGACCAAAGGCAAAGGTAACTAGTAATTTGCCCTCTGCCTGCCTTTTTTTAGGGCACAGCTTCTAGAGTCGAATATTTATATATTTTGTTAAGGACATATAAAGGCTTTTATTTGAAGCAATTGCACTATTACATAGATGGCACTGCAGGTAGAAAGCTTTAATTTTTATCAATGAAGGATTCAGTCTGCATGTGATTAGTATGTCAGAGACACAGGCAGTTCCCGGGTTACATACAAGATAGGGACTGTAGGTTTGTTCTTAAGTTGAATTTGTATGCGAGTCGGAACAGGTACATTTTTTAAGTAACTTCAGGCAAAACAATGTTTTTAGTTTTGGATAGCATAGGGAAGGACCACGTTTGTTTTGCTGTCTGTTCGCCTTGTCCAGAAGATATCATTTAAAAAAAACTTATTTAAAATGACACCAAAAAAAGTTTCTATTTTTAATTTTAAACTATTTTTTTAAAAATTTGTTTGCGTTTTAAATTTTTTACTTTTTTTTTAAATTTTGTCTTTTTAAATTTTAGTTAAACTTTTTTTTTTACTTTATTGCTGGGAGCAATAGCCAGCCTGCTATTGGATATTTCAAATTGCAATAGCCAGCCTGCTATTAGATATTTCAAATTGCAATAGCAGGCTGGCTATCTGCCCACTGTCAATCAGCAGAGGGGCCTGAAGGAGAAAGTTCTCTATCAGGCCCTCCCATGCTGATTGACAGCAGGCAGTGGGCGGGTGCAATAGCCAGCCTGCTATTGCATTTTAAAATATCCAATAGCAGGCTGGGTATGGCTCCCAGCCTGCAGATGTAGAGGAGGCAGGGGGGCGGGGCAGAGGAGGGGGCTGCAGGGGGGAAGGGGAGTATCGGGCGAAGAGGAGCGGCCCTACCAGGGGAAGAGGAGGAGCCGACCGGGAACCGCAGGGGAGGTACGAGGGGCAGTGGAGGAATGCAGCGGTCTCCCTGCTGCCTCCGCCAACACAGGCAGTCACAGTTCTCCTAAACGACAGGCAGTTGCATACACGCCTGTGTGCATCGGATGCCCGAACAGCTGTCGGGGGGGCTAGTTGGACCTCGGTTCGCAAGTACGGGTTGTTCGTAAGTCGGGCGTTCGTAAGTCAGGGACTGCCTGTAATTGGTTCTCTATCACCAGCGAGGACTGAAGCTAGCACCTGTGTCAAGTATCAGCTGTTCGTTCTCAAACAAAAGGATGTTTATTAATGTAAAACACATTGTGGGATCCAATTGGTTAAAGTGAATCTGTGATTGGTCCATGAAGGGAAAAAGCAACACGTTGACTTTAATGTGGACCTCCACAGACACATTGCTTTCACTACCAGCACCTGAAAGGTGTGAAAGTAAGTCCTGTGTAAGGTCAGTTGCTGGAGCCGTAGGTTAACTATGGACTCCCCAAGTGACATCATTGATTGATTGAGCGCCGTCACATTTAGACACATGCTCCTCCATACCCATGCTATTAGGTTTCTTTTTGGTCCCAGCATTGAATGGAATGGCGTGGGAGCAAAGAAAATGTAAGTATATTCTCAAGGGGAAATTCAAGATTACCTGTTGCTTTGTTCTAATGGACAAAACAAAAGTTTGATTTAAACTCTTACACCAGATTTTGAAAGCTTTAGGCTCAGCAAAAAAAATTGTTGCACTATCAGCAATGCTGTACACAACTATTGCATCTACCTATGGACATTTCATAATTAGATGCAGTTCTTATACAAACTACCTCATGAGTAATAATAATAAAAAAAAAAAGCATAAACAAAATACCGACTTACCATCTCCCTCCAAATCATCAGTCTCATCTGCCCAGCTTACAGGTTTGGGTACAAAGGTGCTGCCACCTCCGCCACCTCCACCACCTCCACTACCGGTATTACCTCCATCCTCCGCTAGGAAGTCAGTGAGGGTAAAAGTCTTTCCCTTCTTGGTCTTCTTCTTGCCTAAGAGATTACAGGAAACAAGAAATTAAAGCAGGCCAAGGTGAAATCTTAAAAGCACGTGAAATAAAAACAAAATCCATCTTGTATGTTCGTAGAAGTAACTGGTCAGCTTTGCAGCCTCTTCACTTTTGGGGCATATATACATTTGCATTTTGCTGCATGGAAATGTGATTCAAATAGAGATTGCCCATGGGGTTGGGTCACATTTATGTTTAGTGTGATAGGCAAACTACATGGACCCATTCACACCCATGTGTGGGCATGACAACGTGTGCTGCAATGAACATGCAAAAGTGTAAATTCCTAAAGTCTAAAAAGGTGTCCATATACACTGTACGATTATCGTACGAGAATTGCGGGAAATCCCGCGATCGTACGATAATTGTAAAGTGTATGAAAGGCGTGCGACCATTTCTACTTTACGGTCGCACGTCTTCCTTTGAACAAGCAGGCTTGAAAACCGCCGAGAATCGTACGATTTTCGGCGGTCTAGTGGCTTGCTTGTTCGACAACTGCCGAACGGGCCGGTGTGCGCACGCGCACACTGCCCGTTTGCAGTCATCGGAAGCCCACCCCTCATTGCAGTCATCGGAAGCCCGCCCCTCAGGGGGGCAGGCTTGCGATGATCGCATGTACGATCTGCCTATCCAAGATGGCAGATCGCACAAGCTATTAATTAGCTTACAACCATCGCAAGATAAAAGTCGTGCGATGGTTGTAAAGTGTATGGGCACCTTTAGAGTTTCTAAGAACTAAAACAAGTTTAAAAAGGTGCCCATACACCTTACAATTATCTGCAGATTTTCTGTGGTCAGATGGAAAAAGTACAACAGTTTGGCCTCAGGTGGAGATTACTCCATCCACACAGTTAAGTGTAGATGGAGGAATCTGTTGCACGTTTTCCATCTGACTAGAGCTGCAGCTAACGATTATTTTCAACCACAGAACATCTGCAGATAATTGTAAGGGCTATGGACAGCTTCAGACAAAATCTTAAAAGGAGAACTATGAGATGAGTGATTTCCACTCACCTCATAGTTCTAGCCGACCTGTGACAATAAGACTGTCACAGGTCGGTTCAGTAGATCGGGAGGTGAGCGCACACATACCGGGTTCGCTCACCTCTCGATCCTGTCACGGCTCTCTGCCGTGACAGGGGGAGGGGCTGGATTCCCCTCTCCGATCTGCCAGCGCTGACTGGCGGAACGGACGGGGGAGGGGGCGGGTACAGCTGGCTTTGCCTCTAGATAGGCAGATCCAGCTGTCACTCACGCAGCTGGGCGGATCCCATCATCTACGTCGGGATCCGCTCCGGCGTCTCAGTATACCGCGAGCTGTAGCTCGCGGTATACTGAGCTTAGGGTAACGGGAGGACGCTAGTTTGTGTCCTCCCGTTACCCTAAGGAGAGCTATGGGGAAAAACACTGACCCCATAGTTCTCCTTTAATATAACCCTTTGATTTCTGCAATGTAGTCTATTCAATTTTGCAACAATGCAGACATTTTTATTACCTAGCAGGAGCTAATAATGGGTAACTCTGCTTGATATTGCATAAGAAATTTCCCAACATATTGAGAGAGAAAAAAAAGGGCCAACATTGACTTTTTCGATGAAGAGTGAAGCATGGTGGCTGCCACGTGCACACTGCTATCACTGCCAGGCATGGATCATGGAAGGTCCTAGCTCAGAAGCAAGTTGCTTATCTACAAGCAGACATGTCACCACCCACTGTCAGGGAGCTTTATGCCGGTCAAAAGCCACCAATTTAAAGTTTGGAGGAGTTCTAAAGAAACTATTCTAAAAAGCAGGCTGCAGACAGAATACACAAATCAGCAAAGAAACTGTTTCTTTTTTAAATTCATCTCTTCACTTGCAGAAATAAACCAAACGAGATAATGGCCTGCCCTAAGATAATGCAAGAATACTGTCATAATTACTGGACACAGTCTGCTGTGCTCAATACATTATTAGGAGCTTTATAGGCTATTTAAAAACAATTGCCATGAGTTAGGCAATTTATACACCTAAACAATTGAAGCGAGCCAGGGATGCAACAACTGAACGATACAAAAAATTAAAATGAGAATCGTTGTCAACGATTCTCATTATCGATTAGTTAATAGGGCCACTGCTGCACCTCTGATGCTTCTCCGTTCCCCCCAGCTGTGCCTCAGATGATGTCAGTGGTTGGGAACAGCAGCCAGCCTGCTATTGGCTATTTTAAATTGCATTAGCCAATAGCAGGCTGGCTATTGCACCCACTGCTTGATGTCAAACGGCAGAAGAGGACCTGAAGGAAAACTTTCTCCTTCAGTTTCCTTCTCTGCTGATTGGCAGCAGGCGGGGGCAATAGCCAGTCTGCTGTTGTCTAATGCAATTTAAAACAGCCAATAGCAGGCTGGCTTTTGCTCCCAGCTGCTGCTGTGTTGACATTCAGCTGCCTCAGAAGGCAGCTGTCATTCCCAGGGAAGTGTAAAAAGGTGACACTGGGGGTCTAAAAGATCCTTAATGTCACCTTAAAAAAGACAACCTGTCACCTCCAATGTTCCCTCACATAGGGGGCTTGTGAGCCCCCTTATGTATTAGCAATGAGGTAAAAAAAAAGTAAAGTCCCCCCCATACTAATGGAAAACACAAGTCAAGTGCATCTATGTAGAAAAACATTGATTGGGCTACACGTCAGCTATCGCCGCATGCGCCGGGGGGAGAGCATTAACTCTTGGGCCAATATTCATGGCCAACTCTAAACTGATGACGTGTGTGTGTGTTTAAAGGAACACTTTTTAATCAGAGTATAGCATCAAGTCAATTAAACTCCTGGAATATTGATCAGGTCAGTTTAGCAGTTTCTGCTTCTTTGGTGTTAATGAAATTAAAAGGTGCACAAGATGGGCAACAATGAGACAACCTCCAAGACAGGAATGGTTTTACAGCTGGAGACCACTGACTTTTTTTTCACTACTCATCTTTTCTGACTCTTTCACTAGTTTTGGATTTGGCTAGAGTCAGTGTCACTCCTGGTAGCTTGAGGCGATACCTTGACCCTCTAGAGGTTGCACAGGCATGCCAACTCCTCCAGGATAGCACCTCAATACATGCAATTGCCAGAAGGTTTGCTGCGTCTCCCACCAGTCTCAAGAGCATGGAGGAGATTCCAAGACACAGGCAGTTACTCTAGGAGAGCTGGACAGGGCCGTAGAAGTTCCTTAACCCATCAGCAGGACCAGTATCTGCTCCTTTGTGCTAGGAGGAACAGGATGAGCACTGCCAGAGCCCTATAAAATGACCTCCAGCAGGCCACTGGTGTGAAACAGACTTCATGAGGGTGGCCTGAGGGCCCGACATCTTCTAGTGGGCCTTGTGGAGATTGATTGGCATTTGCTATTGAACACCAGAATTGGCAGGTCCGCCACTGGCGTCCTGCTTTTCACAAAGGAGAGCAGGTTCACCCTGAGCACATGTAAAAGGGTCTGGAGAACCTTATGCTGCCTGTAACATCATTTATCATGACCGGTTTGGTGGTGGGTCACTGATGGTCTGGGGAGGCATATCCATGGAGGGAAGCACAGACCCCTACAAGCTAGACAATGGCACCCTGACTGCCATTAGGTATCGGGATGAAATCCTTGGATCCATTGTCAGACCCTACACTGGTGCAGTGGGTCCTGGGTTCCTCCTGGTGCACGACAATGCCCAGCCTCATGTAGCGAGAGTATGCAGCCAGTTCCTTGAGGATGAAGGAATTGATACCATTGAATGGCCCCCACGCTCGCCTGTCCTGAATCCAATAGAACACCTCTGGGACATTATGCCTCGGCCCATCCGACGCCACCAGGTTGCACCTCAGTCTGTTCAGGAGCTCAGTGATGCCCTGGTCCAGATCTGGGAGGAGATACCCCCAAGACATTATCCGTCGTCTCATTAGGAGCATGCCCCCACGTTGGTCAGGCATCCATACAAGCATGTGGGGGCCATACAAACTAACGAGTACCATTCTGAGTTGCTGCAATTACATTTCAGCACAATGGAATAGCCTGCTGCATAATTTGTTCACTTTGATTTTTGGGGTGTCTTTGAATTCAGCCCTCTGACCAGCAACTGGGAACAGCAACTCAGCCACGAAGTGGTAGGTCACATAAAATGACAGAGCGGGGTCAGCGCATGGTGAAGCGCGCAGAAGTCGCCAACTGTCTGTAGAGTCAATAGCTACAGAACACCAAACTTCGTGTGGCCTTCAGATTGGCACAACAACAGTGTGTAGAGAGCTTCATGGAATGGGTTTCCATGGCCGAGCAGCTGCATCCAAGCCTTGCATTACCAAGTGCAATGCAAAGCGTTGGATGGAATGGTGTAAAGCACGCTGCCACGGGACACTAGAGTGGACACTGGTGGGCGGTTGCCAGGAGAACGGTACTTGCCTGACTGCATTGTGCCAAGTGTAAAGTTTGGTGGAGGGGGGATTATGGTGTCGGATTGTTTTTCAGGGGTTGGGCTTGGCCCATTAATTCCAGTGAAGGGAACTCTTAAGGCATCAGCATACCAAGACATTTTGGACAATTTCATGCTCCCAGCTTCGTGGGGGATGGCCCCTTCCTGTTCCAACATGATTGCGCACCAGTGCACAAAGTTCCATAAAAACATAGATGAGTGAGTTTAGGGTGGAGGAACTTGACTGGCCTGCACAGAATCCTGACCTCAACACGATAGAGCAGAGGCTGCGAGCCCGGCCTTCTCGTCCAACATCCGTACCTGACCTCACAAATGCGCTTCTGGAAGAATGGTCAAAGATTCCCACAGACACACTCCTAAACCTTGCCGACAGCCTTCCCAGAAGAGTTGAAGCTGTTGTATAACTGCAAAGGGTGGGCCAACTTAATATTGAACCCTAAATTCTGGTGTGGGATGTGCGTTGTGGTGGCATGAATTTCAATGGCATCCCAAACGCACCCTCCTGCCGGCAGTGTGATCACCTGCACTAGAACGCACGGTACTGCAATGC